CTGAATTGCACATAGACACTGGTACACACTACAGTGTACTGTACCCCACACTGGTGCTGGCACACACTGCACTCTAACGCAATGTCACCTAATGCATGTCACCCTGTACTGTGCCAGCCACTGCACCTTACTACACCACAATATTGACACAAACTTTTTTGAATATTGTATACGATGTGATATACTGCACACAGACACTGACACACAATGCTCTCTACCTCATTAAAAATGACACAATGTCAGTGTAGCACACAGTCACTCTCCTCCACTGTAAAAGTAATCAGAAACAAATGGTGGCTGTATCTGGCATTTAATTGAGGTTAACCTCCAATAAAGAGGCTGTAAATGAGTGAGAAATATTAATTTTAAAACTTATCTCATCAGTTAACTACACTAAAGGGTATTTTATTTTGTATAATGCACTAACATTATCTTTTTCAACTAGTGAGCTTTCTTATATCTAACGTCATATGTTTATTGTCTTTATCTCTTTTGTAAGTTGACATCAGGACAGCAATAAAAACTATGTAACTGAATAAAGAGGACAGAAGAGGTGCCAACATTTCAGCCCATATGGATGGGAGGAGATCTAGAGCTAGGAGAAGAGAGGGTGTGGCCTTGACTCGTGAGCCCAAGCGATTGGTGGGGCTGTGGTTACCTCGGTTACAGCCTCCAGGGAGGCGGAGTGTTTGAGAAGCAGCTCCATCACTCGCATGTGGTTTTTCTTGCAGGCAATGTGCAGGGGTGTGAATCCATTCTGCAGGACACAGCATGGACAGAGGTGAGCTGGTGGTTCAGAAGAATTGAGTCTGTGCACAGAATTAAGTCTGACTGGAAGCCAACATTTCTTTTCTTTCTCTAGAATCATTTCCATTGAAGTATTACACTTAGAAAATCTGCCAGGACACCTCCGTAGTACCTGAAAATACCTCAACGCTTTGCTAAAAAAGCTTTTCAGAACTCTTCCTGGCAACAGTGGGGTCATCAAAATGTAACTTAAAACCTAAATGCACTTTAATGAAATTATTTATCCTGTATCATTATCCCCTCCCAGTTAACTCGATCTAGCAATGTCGCCAAGCAGTGCAAAGCGACTGACCAAGGCGCGGGCGTTGGGCTTGGCGCCCTTGTCCAGCAGGACCTTGGCCATACGGTGGTGCCCGCAGTGGGCCGCCACGTGCAGAGGCGTCAGGTGGTCCAGGGTGATGTCATCGATCTCCGCGCTGTACTGCAGCAGCAGCCGCACACAGTCCAGGTGGTCACCCTGAGCGGCCATGTGGATCGGAGACAACCCGTTCTGAAGGCAGTGGAGGGAGAGGGAAGACAAGCGAGTTAGTGTGAGAAATCACTCTGACTGGCACACAGAGACAGCCAGACTAGCCATTCCCAAAGGAGGTGCAGAGAGGGTGACCCTCTTGAGAGAGAATGTAAATCAGTCTAAAGGATGAGGGAACATGAAGACGCATAAACACTTACATAAAAATTGATTCAACAGGAGGAGACCTTTTGGCTCATTTAAACTATTTGGTAGTGTGTAGTTAGCTGATCATAGGTTCTCATATAGCTGTTCCTTCCAAGTTAGACTTCAATGGCATGGCTGGGTAGCTTGTTCCATACTCCTACAACCCTTTGTGTACAGAGGTGTCCTCTGCCCTTTTTAGGAACATCTCATCCAAGCATTTGCTAAAGCAGAAAGAGAAAGCCACAGCTATGTTTCCCTACGTTTTCACCACATAACAGAAAGGCTGCTGTGCGATTTGACCTCACGACTCCTGGTTTACAAGGGCAGGGCTCTAACCTATGAGCTGGGAAGACAGAGAGAGTCTGGAAGGAGGAGGGAGCGTGAGGAAGAGTGGCAGGGGGAGAAGCACGGGGAAGCACCTTGGTTTTGGCCTGGATGGGTGCTCCGTGGTCCAGCAGGATCTCAATGATTCGTACATGGCCATTCCTGGCCGCACAGTGCAGGGGTGTCAGCTCATCCTGGAAGGAGAGAGAGAGATCAAGGGAAAGGGAAAGCGAGAAGGAGAGAGGAATAGAAAGAGGGAGAAGTGTCAGAGGAGAGGCATTGCACGATTGCATTATTACAGCACTATTGCAGCTCCACGTTGCTACATTACTTACAGAGCCCAGGAAGGTGGTGTGTACAGTATAAGAAATATAGGGGCACCACAATGTGTCAAACCTGCTGCATTAAATACCCGCCTAGGTGCCTAATCAGCTGCACTGTTCTGTCTCAGTACAACGTGCCATCAGGAAGCACCTGACATTTACTGCAAGGACATGTCTCGGCAGGAGGCCACATGTTACTGATGCCTGCTCCCCTTCCTGAATCCCTGGCCTCTGAAGGTGATTTACAAAGCGACTCTGGTGCTGCTGCAACTTGAGCTGCATGCTAATGAATGCCATCTTGGCAGTGCGGGCTGGGCTGTGTGCACCTGTAGGCTTGCGAAGCTGGTACCTTGGTCTTTGCATCTATCTGCGCCCCTCTGTCCAGCAAGAGTCTGACCATGATCACGTTCCCTCTCCTCGAAGCAATGTGCAGTGGACTGATGCCATTCTGGAGCAAGTACACACAGAAAGAGAGGCAACATTTAAATGCATTCAAGAGAGATGCTTTTTTCGTCCCTTTTAAAGAGATTAATTAAAACCAGCTCTCTCCCCCGGGCCTGGCAAAAGGTGGACAAATAGACGCTGCTCTTTTGAGAAACAGAAGAAGTTCCTGAGATCTGTCACCCTTACCAGGAAACCATTTAGCACAAAGCACGTCATAGGAGATGTAATTTAGGCAGAAATGGGAGAGATTTAGCTGTGCAGGAAACTTGGAAGAAATAAGCCAGCCTGGTCAAAAATCTGCATCCTGAAATTCATGTGCAAAACAAAATTGTGGCAGGTTTCACGGACAGAGACCTCACACACACTGTGCAATTAGAAAGTTGGCAAGTTATTATGGGACTCACTGTTTTTGTCCACTTTCCTATTTGTATGTATCCGTACACCACAATGTAGGTTTTTGTAATACAGCTGTTTGAATGCTATGCCATGCTAACTTGATATGAACCCTGTGCTTACATAAACTTCAATATTGCTGGGGTTTTTTCTCCAGTTCATTCACACATCCATAATTGAATTAGAATAATGCAAAGCACAATACATGACTTTGCACAACACATCCTAGGATTTGCTGCTTGTACAAGAACAACTCAGTGGCACTCAAATGCAATGTACTCCACGGAGTACATGAAGCATCAAAAGAAACATTTTCTAAATACAACACACTCACATAATTATAGTGAATGAAATTACTCAATCATTTTGTAGCACAGTACACTGATATTTTATTGAACAGTCCAAACATAGTTGAACTTATTACCCTGATTAACATTTTTCAACAGGGCTGATTGACAGGGCTCTACTGTGAGAATCCCAGGCAATGTGGAAACAACAGCTGTACCGTATATGAGAGACACATGCTTTGCACCAGGTTGCAGATGCTGTCTTGTGGGAATCTACTCCATTCCTCTTGCACTGTAGATCCTCACAAGTCTCTGAGCCCTAGACGTCTCCATGTCATAAATGGATAAATTGATCATGTTCAATTATGGGGCTCAAACCTAGACAGTAGGGAACTCATGGAACACCTGTCACATTTGCATCTTTCAAGAAAAAACATCAAGAAGAGCAAGAAGATATACAGTATGTTCTCCAGCTGGAATGTTGTCATGTCAGGATGAGCTTGTGGGAATGGCAGAAACTGAGGTCCCAGGACTTGATCAATGCAGCACCATGCTGCCTACGAGATTAACATCGATCACTACAAACGGAGTTCTGAAGTGACTAGACACTCCTACCAGAACATCACACCTGGACATCCCTATTGACTGCTCGGTGGAAAACAACAACTACTGCATAACTGTGTGACACTTACTGATGCCCACCAGGGCGGTCTTCACAAAACCTCGATGTATCACTGAAGAGAATTTAGCTCGGCTGCTGGTGAGTCCATCTGAGCTGTTGCTCCAATATACCGATGACACAAAGGCATTGCTCTCTTGAGAAGCACGGTATACACTCAAACCCCAGTATAAGAACGTTCGGTATACGAATTGTCGCTAATCCGAAGATGAAGAATTAGTACCCTGTAATTCATTATAAGAACGAAATTTCGCTAATCCGAACTCTGAAGTTCGAAAGTCACCGATTTTGGCCGAGAATTCAGGACCACGGAACAGCTGTTTGTTTCCGCGCGTGCGCAATGTACTGCGGTTAAGGAAGCCGTGAGGCAGCGGTGCTTTCTTTACAATCACAGCGAAAGCCTGTGCTCTCATTTTCAAAGTGTTTTTTCTGTTTGTTTTGTATTTGTATTTGTTATTAAGGGGTCTTAAGGAAGAGGAAAAGATTCTTCAGCGTAATAGTCAACAACAGTATGCACACTGTTCTAGCCGATCGCTTGGATAGCGATCTATTACGAAACAATGAAAAGTGTAATTATAATCTCAATAATTATTTTACAGGTATAGTTGGCTTATGTTAGTAGAAGTGTGTCGTTCACTAAGCTTGCTATAACGGTCTGTAAGGTATTATAAATTTAGAGTGAAACGGGGTGGAATTTTCCCCATAAGAAATCATGGAATTTTTATGATCTCCCGCCTTCCAAACATATTTTCAGGAACGAATTCAGTTCGGACACCAGGGTATGAGTGTATCTGTTCTTTTCTGTGGTTTTCTTTTCATATTTTCAACAGGTTAAATCACGATTTGTGCCCAATCACCTGTCTCGCTGCATGAGATGCTTTTGTGCTTGGACAACCACCAGTCACATCAAAACCTTTTAAACAATATCCAACTTCCACATCCTTAATGTTTCTAAAGACATGGAGTGTTAATGTGTGACTGATGTTCAGTATATCGAGATGGACAATGCCTTCTTAACGGAGCACTCTGTGGGGGACCGGCCCCAGAGGGTGGATGGTGAATCTGGAAAGACGGAGTCTGCACCTGAGTGGTGTCCCTGCTATCTCTCCCTCTCACCTTTGGGGTGAAGTTGACGTTGGCCCCTCTGTTGAGAAGCAGCTGGGCTACATTCAGGTTCTCGTAGTGCGCTGCAATGTGTAAAGGTGTGAAGCCAGTCTGAAGGCAGAGAAACAGACAGAACAGCTGTTTATTGTCGAGGATGATACCTACTTGGGCGGAGCGGTGGCTCTGTGGCTCAGGATCTGCGCCTGTGGCTGGAAGGTTGCCGGTTCAAATCCCGCAGCCGGCAGAGGAATCCTACTCTGTTGGGCCCCTGAGCAAGGCCCTTCACCCCAACTGCTCCAGGGGCGCTGTACAATGGCAGACCCTGCGCTCTGACCCCAAGTTTCTCTCCCTAGCTGTGTCTCATGGAGAGCAAGCTGGGGTATGTGAAAAGATAATTCCTAATGCAAGAAATTGTAAAGTTATACTTCATATAGTATCTGCGGCAGACAAACATGGGTCGTATATCTGGCTCACTTTGAAATTGACCTTGGCTGATATGAATAAGCGCACACGCACACACACACACACGTAGCAAGCACTCCCTGTGGGCTGTCTGTTGGACGAGTGTGTTTGCCTGTCCCCACTGTATAAACCTCCCATGTCCTCGGCGCCGTGTCCCTTGGGAGCCCCTGCCGTACCTTGGACAGCACGTCGGGGTTGGGGTCGTTCTGCAGCAGCACGGCGGCGGTGCGCGTGTCGTCGTTGCGGGCGGCGATGTGCAGGGCGGGCAGGCGCACCTTCCCCTTGGTGCCGTAGTTGATGAGCAGGGCCACCACGTTCTCATGGCCCTGCTGCAGAGCCACAGCCAGGGGCGTGAACCCATCCTGAGGGCGCAGTGGAAAAAGCGGGATTGAATCATTGATTGGTTGGTTGGTGGATTTTACTGGTTTTTAATTCACAAGGATAGGCAGTGCTAGGCAAGCTCTTCTTTAAGTTACAGGATTTTTTTATTGTTGTTGTTCAAAAACCTATTGCCTTCACTTTAGATTCCTTGTTGGGAAGCCTCTGTGGTGCAGAACGAGTGCGTGCCTGTCGGTTCTCAATAATGCACCTTGAGATTCACTTTCTAACTGCTTTATCCAACACAGGCTGGGGAGCTGGAGCCTTTCCTGACAAGCCACAGGCACACACACAGATACACACTCACATCAGGGCCAGCTTTCCCAGAAGCCATTTAAGACAACAGTATGACTTTGGATGGCGGGAGGAAACTGGAGCTCCACAAGAATATAGGGAATCCACACAGACTGCACCCCTGGTCTGGAATTGAACCCAGGGCCCCAGCGCTGTAAGACTCATTCAAGCATACAGAAAACACATCTAGCTTAAACGTTTCAGTGCTGATTTTAATTCAAACATGAAAACCATGTCAGGGTAATGAACTGAACTGTTAGCATGTCGCTGTGAACATTTCGTACTGTGCACTCATGTTGGAAACCCCTAACCTGCATCGCTCACACTGCACAGAAAGTCCATTGTTGTGCCTGTCACATTGGCCTTAAGTAAACCTCATTTAATTCAGCTGAACAAAGCGCTGACAGGTTGTAAATGAAATGGCAAGGTGTTGAACTTGGCAGCAAAATTCATCCAGCGAAATTGCAGGATTCAGGCACGGCTTTTCTGCTCCGAGATCAGGAACATGGGCTTTTCATTTTACCCTGTGCCGTGCCATTACAGGGTTCAATAAGACAGAGGGGGTCACTTACCCCACTCGGGCTGAAGATGTAGCCACTGAAGCCAACCAGTGCATAAAACTGAAAGAGCCCTTTTGCTTTCTCCAAAGTGTATTTTGCTACATTGTTTTGTGAAAAGAACAGTGAATTTAAAGGAAAACTGTAAGCGGTGCCCTGTAGGGAGTTTGAAAAGCAAATCACAAACACCATGTTTCCTGTTTCCAAAATCAATAGAGCATCCCTTTCTCCAAACAGTAGAAATTACAGTTTGTTATAAGCGTCCCAGGTGGATGGACCTGCTGGTTTAATAGAAAATACACAGAGTACTGTAAATTGGCCTATCACTCCCTGCTTTTCTCTCTGAGCACAAAGGCTGGCTTGTGGGTGAAGCTGATAACAGCTTCTGTATCGCAGGTGTCATATTCAGTCATTTCTCACCCTCCACACTGCGACTGTGTAAAGCCCGAGTTCAAGGTTAACCGAATCAGAAAGGAAAACACTTGGAAAAAACAATCTAACTCCATGTGACTCTACCCTCTAGACGCCAGCTCCAGAAGCCCCAGGCGTAGGCATGGAACCCAGTGCTTTCTGGTGTGACTTGAACCAGATTCTTTGAGTTTATTTCTCATTTAATTATTTTTTTAATACGACATTCTAAAACAGTGTTATAGCAGCTATAGGCAACAAAGTCCACGATCTTTGCAAGAACATTTTTCCGAATCGCCTATATACAGTAATCTTGAAGATTACTATATATACTGTATATACTGTAGGTGATTTCTATATTTCTCATTTTTCTATATTTCTATATTTCTCATTTAGAACGCGTCAATAGTTCTATGATGTAAACAACCTGCTGAAGTTGTTGGCTTTTAAAAACTCTTCCAGGATGCTAATATGCCAAGTCTGTGACTGTTGTAAGCTTTTTTCGCCTTTTGGTTTTGTAATCTTAGAAGTGAGTATAGCAGCACAGCTCGTGTTGTAACTCACTGAGGACTCACTGGGGGTACTTTTCTGGACTGCACTCTGTGCTGGGAGGGCGGGGCTGCGCTGTCACTCACCTCTGTTGGGATGCTCTGATTGGCCCCATTTTCCAGCAGGAATTTGACAACTTCCAGGTGATTTTCCTGGGCTGCCATGTAGAGAGGAGTAAAGCCCTTCTGCAGGGGACAAACAGACAGACACATGGACCAATTCACCCCGTCTCATATTTCCAGCTGATCGAGGATATTTCTCTAGAGACTCTCTGGATTCAAGAATATGGTAATTTTACCAAATGTGCAGATATTGCATCTTTTTAACTTTAGGTTAGTGTGGAAAATCTGAGGCTTTAGCACAACCCCTCCTAAAGCAGAAGATGATTGTTAATAGTTTGAACTGAATCCAGTACATTAGGGGGGAAAGGTGTTTTGGGGTGTTGTGTACTGTATATGTTGTTTTGTGTTTTGAATTTGTTTAAAACGTCAATAATAATGTATGCAAATGTTAAAAATAAATATAAGAATACAAACACACAAATAGACTATATATATTAAAAGTAAGAGTTACAGAAAAAGTGCAAATACTAAGCACTTTACATGTCATCTAGTACAGTACCTGTTTAATAAGAAATTAAATATTTTTATAAATACAGTAAGTACATGCTTTAAATGAAAAGTGTACTGTACATGTCTGGAAATATAGTTAACACTGACCTCATGTCAAGGAAAAATGAAATCAATAATACTGCAGTTATTCAATTGAAAAAAAATTGAACATCAGGTTGAGTGAGTGAAAAATGCGTATTTTCACACAATGCACAATCAAACACTGCATGCTCATGCTCCTGTTTCCCCTACACGGACTGGCGCTGTCTTTACAGTGATCTTCCAGTGAATGCAGAATTACTTGCTAGATTTGCCAGATCTCACGCGACCACCAGAAAATGTTTGGGAAACTAAATGATCAGATAGACTGTAAGGTAGACGGTGCAGGAAGATTGGGGAGTTCCTCCGGGGAAGGCGGCGTCAGGCGTGGTCACAACACAGTGACCTCTACTGGACTGCCTGGACCATGGGCCAAACACCGACACCCTGCTCGACAGCTGTTTGTCAGCTGCTGGTTTTACATTGTGCCCGCCGGGTCAAGTCACAGCCAGCTCCAAGCAGAAGAAAAACGCCGAGGTGTAAAAGCACATTTCAACCTGGGTCCATCCATCTTTCCTGGCATTTCAGACAGCGGCTAGTTTGATCACTACATCTGAGAATAAATCTGGGAAAGCCAATGATACAATTTGTGGGGATGAGACGAGCTGGCATGCATACAAATTATATCAGCTTGACGAAACAAAAGGGAAGTTAATGAGGTAGACGCCTGAGCAATGCAAGGATTCTCAACTGACAGCTCTTTAGACCAGCAAAAACTATGGTTTCATTCTGTTTTGAAGCAGTTTTTAATCCACTGTAGTTTTGTCTTGATGTTCTTCATGCAGTGCATCTATTTCAGTCATCACATCTGGCTGTGGGGTTCTTTCAGAGTTTGCAATGCAATGAAACTCCACTCTTTACATTATAATTTACAGTATAAATAATATAACATTATAATTTTGACTTATTTCATGCAATAAAATTGAACATTGTTTCACCTACTTCAATGAAAAATTGAAGCTGCAGCTGCTTTGCTCTTTTGCATTAAAGGATGATGTACATATGTCACTATAAACACCATTTTCCACTTGAAGGCATACAGCACAGCTCAGCACAGATTTGCATTAATGAAGAGTACAGCTGTTCTGTGTAAAAGCCTTCATTTGATAATACTTAGAGTACACAGGAACACATACTTGAGAAGACAGCTGTTCAGGTAAACTTGTAGAAACTAAGTTTGAACAGATAGAGAAATTGCATTTAGTGGGAAAAGGCTGAAGTTTCTGTGTGGAGAACAGTAGACTGTTCTGTTTCAGCTTTTCTACTTCTCAGTGGTAAGACGGCTGGCATTCAGTCTGAAAACCACATGGTAATTGGATTTAACCTGGGGTTCGGCCTGGGACTTACCTGGGACTGGGCGTTGACGTTAGCACCATAGTTGACCAGCTCAGTGACCACCTGCTCCTGCCCAGCCAGCGCTGCAATGTGGAGGGCAGTGTTCCCTTTCTGCAAGAGAAAGCCTCTCTCAGCACATTCTCCTGGCACAGAACAAGGCAACTAGGAGTTCATCCCATTACATCATTTTGGGGGTTTGTTTTTTAGAACTCCAGAACTGCCAAATCAAATACAGAGAATGCAACTGTTGGATCAATCGTAAGGGAGAATGACATTCCTTCTGTGGTGCACGCACAGTATTCTGAGGAGCGGATAAAACCCACATTTCCTCTTATCTGTCAATCACGACCTATCTGAGAGTCTCCAGAAGTCAGGAGCTCCCCAGAAACCAGTTTTTCCTTTCCATTTGACTGCTGCACGGAGTCAGTCTCACAGCTCTTAAAGTCTCTCAAGAATGTTTGTGATGCATTATTTGTCAGATCTAACAGAGCTCTGCAGTGTGTGTGTTTCAATTTGTCTTCCCTTTAGAAATTGAAAAGGGAGATGGTGAAGCTGCATGACTGCCTGATGAATGATGAAGGCAGAATTAGAAGCTGATTCAGTGCAATAGTGATCCATCCATCCATTTTCTAATCACAGGGGTGCTGGGGAGCTAAACTCTATCCTGACAGACAACAGGCGCAAGGCACTATGGGATGCCAGCCAAACGCGGGCCACATCCAGACATAGACCTGCACACACTCACACCCGTTCTCCCAGAAGCTGAATAACCTTCCAGGTTATCCAACCAGGAATCGAAACCCAGGGCCCCCGCGCTGCGAGGAAGCAATACCAACCACCATGAGCCTGTGCCACCCCCACAGTGATCCAAGAAGTAAAAAATAATGGTTCCCCGCTTGGTGGCTCAGAGGTGATCAGCTGGAGCCTGGGTCATGTCATGCTGTGCTACTGGATTAATGCTGTCAGGGCAAGGCTGGGAGGAAGCAAAAGGTTAGAGACCCACTGCTCCTCCAGGCCAGGCACCGTGACTCTCCTGGGGGTACATGAGTCTCTGTTGGAGAGCCAGGTCTTAAAACAACAGGCAATTCCACATGAGGTGAGTATGTAATCAAGAAAGAATTTGTGAAACAAACAAAATGAAATTAACAAAAAAGTTAATGAAATGGTTCCCAGAAAAAAAAAGGTTAGCTTTGGAATCTCTGACTGATGGAGGGATGGGAAGGGGAAGGAGATACCCCTAGCTTTTTGGCTCTGGTTTCTCCAGCGCAATGAAGAAGACAGAAGCTCAAGAGCTGCTTCCTGTGTTTGCGTACCTTGGTGGTCGTCTCCAGCGTGATGCCATTGTGCAGCAGCTCCAGCACCATCTTGACATGCCCCTCCTTGGAGGCCAGGTGGAGCCCATTGAGGCCGTTCTGCAGAGAGGACAAAGAAGAGAGCAGACTTCACACAGGACCAGCCTCTACACAGCACACAGGCGCCCTCACTCAGCCACACAGACGCAGAGACACCTTCAGACACAGACACACACGCTCAAAAATACCCTCCAGTGCATCAGCCACTAGAGAGCCTGATATTCCTCCTGCAGTACGTCATCCTACCGGTGGATTAAATCCACAACCAAACACAGAAGCCCAGTAAATACACAGCCCAGGGCAGCTGGTTCTACTAGACAAACTGAAAAGACCTGCCAGAGGCCAAAAGCCACCATCATGTAATGGGTTGGGATGTAACAATTATTGGTTGGACCGAGGTTCTGATGGAAACACTGGAAGGCAGACTGGGACTGCAAGGCTTTCCCCCTTAGGGTGCAACACAATCTTTATTTGCTGCCTTTTATTTCCCTTTTATAAAAGCAGCAGGAATTTCTGCAGAGCTCCCTCACATTGCTACAAAACCCTAGGTCTCTTAGTACAGTGGAGATTTACCGTTTTGTGAAAGTGAAACCTGCACTACCCATGAGTTTAATTTCAAAGCTCTCTGTTGTTTTTAAACTGCTCTTGAATGCACCTCGCTCTTAAGATGTCTGAAAACCTCCCTGTTGGCAGAGAACTGATCGGGATTAAGCATCAGGGATGATGGAGAAACGCATCCTGAGCTCCTGATGTGGAGGAATTCTGGATCCCTCAAGGTCAGCTCCCTGCCAGCTTCCTCATACCCATTCATTTTCTTTCTTTCTCTCTCCCAGTGAAATCGGCTCGCCCTCAGTGCAGAGGAATCAATAAGGGTGTAAGGCGCCTTGAGCCTGTCATCATTACAAACACACTGTAATCAATCCTTTCCCTGTCAACCTCGGCTGTGAGGAGCTGGGCACATTATTCACACACTCTGCCAGGGGGCACCAGCGCCACACACAGCAGAACACACACAGCTACACACACACATTCCTCACGCCCCCAAGCAAAGACTCGTCTGCATCACCCGCACACCATCAAGCAGAAACAACACACAGCCCTTACCTGCACAGTTGTGTGCAGAGACGTGCATGCACACGCAGAGTAACAATACCACCGCACACTGTCACAGAGGTACAGTTCACATCTGCATGACACATTACCACACAAATGCGCAACATACACACTTATCTCACACATCCACCCTTTACACACACTCCAAATTATTGTAATTTTACACTCTACCATGATCTAAAGAAATATCAGACCTCAAGCAGAAGATCTGAAATGTGCAGCCCACGGTTTGGTATGACTGGCTGGGACGTCAATCTTGAGCACACAACCTAACCACCACGAGCCAGCCAATCACAGGACCTGCTCAGATTCAACTGGCCTGGGAAATTTGACTGATAGACGGCTGCGGTACCTCAAAATGTGCATTCCACTTTGTGACAGCAAAGGCACGAGCTGGTGGACAGAGGCTTTGAAAGGCTTTAGTTATACTGATGTGGTACAGTTTCCATCTGGATTTTCATTCACAGCAAAGGTCTTTGCTGCTGTAGATGAAAGAGGGACACTCTCTGAAGCTCAGTCAGACAGCTAAGCGATGCTAATTAAATTTACCGCAGTGCTATACTTTTCCCCATGTGATGTTCTGGGATGTTTTGGTGAGCGTATGGTGTCCTCAGCAAGCAATACCCTGCTTGAATAGCCTTTGCAGGAGAAAGCACTGCAGCAAAGGAGAGACAGCAAACAGCCTCAGACACATTGCACAGTGGCACTGCCTGCTGACATCACCCCTGTCTCAGGCCTTTGCCAAAAACAAACAGGGTTCCAGACACCTGCTCTCCCAGACTACAGATAAAGGGAGAGAGGGGGACAGAACAGTGGAGGGAGAGGGGTTATTTAGCATGCTCATAACATCCTCCTCGACTGGCAGCCCCAAATACACACAGAGAGTGCAGTCAGGGCAAAGAGAGAGCTGGAGGAGGAAGATGAGACAGATCGATTTCGAATCTGCAGGTACAGTAGGTCCGATGGCAAAAGCTCGAGGAGAAATGCACCCCCCTCTGCAGTCCGAATCAATAAGGGTGCTGAGAATATGACTCTGCTCTCCTTTAGCACCGGCAAGGAGAGAGAGAGAGGGCATGATGAGGATTAGGGACGGTACACAGACACAGGGTTCAAGTCGCATCCTTTCATTGTGTCAGACGTACCAAAGAAACACTACAGGCAGATGGAGAACTGCGGCATTGCACACACCACACAGCAAAAGAACATCCGATCTGGCTGAAACATGTCAGGCCAGCTTGCCCTTTTAATTACCGAGATGGTGCAGTGATCACACTGCATTTCCATTGTGCAGCATATACACTACACTAAAACATCATCATTCCCAGGACTACATGACTAAGACAGTTAAGAAAGGACACCGCCTCTGTGAACAAACTCTGGAGGAGCATGATGTCAACAGTGCACGCTAAAGATAAACAGAACCCTGCAGCACACAGCTGTCTCAGATTTCAACCGAGAAATGCCCACTAATGGAGGCTCTCTTTTAGTTCTCAGTCGGTTCACGTTCCTTTAGATGATTTTTCCTTTCTCAAACTACATGATAACTTATTGTATGCGCCCTGTGAAATCAGAAACTGAAGTCCTTTTTTGCCCTCTGTCTATTGTAAAATCTAAAAAGCTACACGTATACGGAGCAGAACCCTGTCATCTTAATAGTCTGTGTAATTTTAGGATACTGTGCATTCTCTGGACCAGTCCATCTAGCAATACGCTTCATCCATACACTCAACCCCCTCCCCCTAAGAGGGCTTGTGAAGTGCTCCCCCCAGTGGTGAGGTGCATGACAGCACAGAGGCAGGCGGCAAGGACATCCATTAGTCTTTATACAGTAGCAGCATTACCTGCTGTGCATTTTCCCTGCTGGCATCCTTTACACACTATTCACAAATTAAAACTGGTTAGGTATTTCATTTTCTTATGCAAGCACATGAGACATTTGCATCATGCAGGGTACCCATTAATTAAGGCCCATTGTACAGTACAACATACATTTCCTCCCCTCGATTGCCTGTTTTTTTACAATGCCACAGAAGCTCCAGCTTTTGAGGACGGAAGTGCTTTGCGGTTTTTATGAAATAAAGCTCTCTGAAAATGTACTGGACAATCTGATTATACTGCACATACAAACAGATCTGTGCTTGAGACCAACAGCATGTGCTCTCTCACGCAGGTTGTGGTTAGAAAGATCAGGTAGGTGGCTACTACTGCAATCGGTTTTGCTATGAGTAGGAGAATCTCCAGCATTGTCCCTTATGGGAACCATTCCCCTTAGACCCAACTCATTCTCCTCTTCCTCCAAGCTGATGCTTCCGATGATGGTGAAGGTGATGATGGAGGCAGTGGTGATGAAGATGAAGATGAAGATGACGCAGGACCGATGGCACGTTCCAGTCTCCGGGATTGAAAGAATAAGAGCCCTGTGGGATAGGTCTGACCTCATATATCCCTCCTTCAGCAATACAGGACATGTGAGGTTGGACCTTTCCCACACGACTGATATTCCACTGCATCAGGAGACCACAATACACCATCTTCCAGCCCCCCAGGACAGAGAGAATGGAGAGGAGGCGATGGAAGGGTGGAAATAAGAAGGGGGGGGCAGAAGAGAGGGCAAAGGGTGGAGAGAGAGAGGAGACAGAGGGACGGAGAAGGAAAGAGGAAGGGTGAGGAAGAGGAAGAGGAGGAGGAGGAGGAGGAAGGAGGGCTGGGGTTGGCATGCTGCTCCACTGAGGGCTGGAGGGTTCCTAGAGACGACTGAGGAGGTGAAGAAAATGATATAATGATGGGGGAAAAAAGGAAACAGAACATGCAAGTTACAGAAACATGGGAGAGAAATCCAGCATGGACTGGAGGAGGAGATGAGGGATGAGCTACAGACAGCAGGGAGCAGTGCAGGCTGACAGCTGACACCACGGGCAGCCGTCTGCGAACCCAAGGTCAGGAGCAAGTGTAAATCTCAGGGCCCAGAGAAACCAAAAATCAATTAGTCAGTAATAAAGGTTTCAACTTCACGGAACTGCCGAGGGTGAAATCAAAACCTCTGTTACTAACTCGTTCCTTACGGGTCCCGGGGGAGAGACGGGCGAGGGGGTCAGACAGACAGGCATCCGAGCCGCTGCCAGGAAAGACTGCTGCTCCAGTGTCATGCCCCCCTCCCCCCAGGCACCTGTGAGCCTCTCCGCCGAGAGGGGGCGCCGTTGCTGATGGCTGAAGCTAAGAGGAAGGGAAGAGGCCAGTCAGCTCATGCCTATTCTGCCTCCTGCTTTTGCTGTGGTCTTGGGGGGTCTTTTACCTTATTCTGCACCCAGGTAGAACCACCTCTCTCAAACAATGTGAAGTCACCTGCTTACCTCCTGTAGCACTATGGTCCTGTCTCCTCTGTTGGACATGTCTGGCTTCCTTGTGGTATTGTTGTATGGTTGTATTGGACCGTGCAGTAAATCAAATTTCCCCCAGAGGACAATAAAAGCTTGAACTGAATTGAATTTCACATCAGCTGACATGGACTTGATGTGCAGTCCAGCCAGGTGTCTTACACGCAATATGCAGTAGGGGTTAAAAAAAATAAATAACCCAAGAAAACCTTCCAAAATCTAGGGTTTGCGGGAAACATGATAGGTCACAGAAAATCCTGTGGCTGTGCAAGGGTTATATCATGCAGGTCCATGCAGTACAGAGAGAGGCAGTACAGAGTGACATTCCTACCTTTCACAAGCCTGACAGATACAGCACTCTTTTAACAGCACATTTCCAGACTTAGGGACTGAATCAGTCCAAACTTAATGGACTGATTCAGGAATTATTTCATTTTCATGACAGGCCTTTATGACTTCTCTGATTTATTTTACCTATTGTACCAGCTTAACATATCACCAGATTTTAGGCTAGTTGGTGAAACATCTTCTTGTGGGATCAGTGCTGTGCACCTACCACATGCACTACTTCAGTCTCTCCAGCAGAGGGAGGTGCAGCCAGGTCTGTCTGCCTCAGGGTCAGAGACTGAGCTCAGAACATAACAGATTTTCTTTTCTCTCCAAGTCTCCAGTCTTTATCATAGACATTACTGGGCTCTTGATCACAATTCTCCTTGTTCTTATTTATTGTGTACCTTCCTTTCCTTTCTCTATTAACCCTGTATCCTGTAAATGAACCGAATTAAAACTATTAGATGATTTACACCCCCTGAAAAACAAGCTCATGCAGTAAGAGAGTACCCTGGCAGGGATTTACCCAGAGGGATGAGGCCAGCTATGACCCCTGTCCTACTGTACCTTTCACAGGATTAGCTCAGTCTTTGAGTGTTGGGCTCCTCTCTCTGGGTAGAATCGCTGTCAGGGTACTCTCCTCTGAGCACTGTACTCTGTACTCACCTCTGAGCACCCATTTTTGTGGTCTTCTGTCACAAGGCAGCTGCTTTTCAGATTATTTTGAATTGCAAGTGCCATTGTATTCAAATTTATTTAACGGCCCATCACTACAGGTGTTCTGGGGTTCTAGCCTGAGAGGTAAAGGTTATATGAAAAATGGCCAAGATGCCACTTGCGTCACCGGAGCTGGCATCCCCTGCAGGAGGATGCTGCCACAGTCAAGGTGCCAGTTCCTCCTCACTGAGCTGGAACTGATCACCTCCGCACTGAGGGGGCTCGACTGAGGCCACCCCCTCCACCATACAAATCTAATCAGAGCATGAGGAGGGCTGGTGACATTGCTGGTTCAGGTACAAAAACCACATGCCTGAGCAACTGCAACACAGGCTACTGAAGTGCACTAGAACACTACAACAGGGGCTGCAGAAAGTCAAAGGAATACACAGGATAACTGCCCCTCGTAGTACTGCTAAACTGAAGAATTTTAAAATACTGCCAACAGGACTGGTACTAATCATAAAATAAGTAAGAGTGAGCTCCAAACTTACAATTAAAGTTAAGATTACAGGCAGGTTTAACAAATTGCTCTTTTGCTTTTGAGCTCTCTGTTCCTGCAAGGTGGCTGGTCCGTCTGTGATATACTGTATAAAGGATACATTATTTTGTAATGCAATGCAAATTTTTGGAAAAAAGCAAACTTGATTCTGGATGATCCTTACAGAGGAGATACAATTGTTGAGAGAAATAACGACTAAAGAGAAACACTGCTAGATGTGATCAGTTAGGATCATCTCCATGGGAGGGAAATTCAAGATGAGGAGAAACAAATACTGCGTCTGGCTCTAGTGGGACAGTAAAGGGGTTGGGGCCAGTTACAGTTCTGCGTTCCGGTGGGGGTGGCGCCAAGCACCGCAGTTGCAGCCAGGCCCTCGCTCTGCACTGTGGAAGAGCAAACCGCACCCACAGAGGGGATCAGGAGTGGGCCGTGGTGCACAGGGACAGACCAGGCGAGTCCCCACACACTGCAATAAGACAGGCAGTGTCACCGCTGAAATGGATGTCAGGTCTATCTTCACAGGGACAGCCCGAGAGATCCAGGCTCAGGCAGAAGAAACCACAAACTAGAACAAGAGGAGCAGACGGAACTCCCAAGCGATTCTGATGGGAACTGGCCTTTTAACATTCTAAAGAATTCACGACCACAAAAGAGTGATTTGTTTGCACATCTTGTCCCATAATGAACTACTTGGCAGTAATTCAGAAGACAAGCCTCGCCTTACAAAAGAGCGTTCAGTTTCGCCTCACACCCTGTGATCTAGGACAGGTCCCGGCTTTTGATAAACATCACAGGGACGAGTGGCTTCCTGATCATGGATGGATGGTGGATCTACAGAGTCCTCCCCAATGTCACACCAGGGAATCAGCAGGCACTACAGCCATCAGAATAGAGTAATACAGGAGAGGTTCTGCCCCTCTGGCTCCCATGTGGTGTCCTGTGCAAATCTTGTGCTTAAGACTGGCTGGCCTGCATTGGCATGAAGAGCTGGGAAATACTCTGTTGACATGATCAGACCGTAAATGTGTTGGTGCTGCAGATCCCCCTGCATCATCGCTCCCAATATTTTTGCCTGGCTTCCTCCCAAAATCATCAGCTGACCCCTGTTGATAACACTGTGCCTGCTCCCCTAAGGCCCACCCTGCCACTAACCCACCCAGCCCAGGACAGCTATCTGTCATGGCAGCAGGCACACCACAGTGGGCCAGGCTTAGTGGCTTAGCCTGCACTGGCAGAGATAAAACTGTCAGCCATCACTGGTGGATTGGTAGAGTACCCCTTCGTGATCATGGTTTTTTAAAGTTCGGAACACTGCCTTCACAGTTGTTCTTGTTTTTTGTTTTGTTTGTCCTTAAAATAGAACGGCGCAATCAGGTCCCATGTAGCTGGATAAGTCTATCCATCCCTACACTCATGCAGTCTTAAAGTGGGAGCCAGACTCCATTCAACTCCTGTTTAAAGGAAAAATCCTTAAAGGACAAGAAAGGGACAATTTCCTGGTGAGCGATAAGTTGAGATCCTAACACTTGGGCTCAGTCGGGGATCTGCAATTCCAGTGGCTTCTGAAGGTCGAAAGGTCTTTTCACACTATTTTTGGAGCTCTGTAACTATAGCTAAATGCCACTGAAGGATCGTTCTGCTCATCACTAACCTGATAATATTACATAAAGTGATTTGCTTCAGTTAGCAGAAGTTCATATTTTTACCACTTTTAGTAACTAAACAATAATAAAACATGAAACTTTCAGTACGTCTTGTAGCTCTTCTTCTTCCTGAGAAACTAAACTAATAGTGGTTTCAGTATTCCACTCAAGTAATTTGCTCGTTCATTGGGGAAATACACAAGTAGGTTTGGGATCTGAGGCCTTGCCCCACAGTACATGAGCTGGTGAATATTGCAGATATAACCTGAGTTGCAGTACTTGGTAAGGTGAGAGAGGATGGCTGAGCGTTCCCTAGTGTTTCTGAGGAAAAGGGTTCAGACAAGGTCTGGCATCTTGGTAGAACCTACTGCTCTCTTGCAACATTTAATATATACAGTTTTTCACAGAATCCTAAAATGCTTTACAAAGGGCCCAGTCATCCACCACTGCAGTAAAGTATCCATTATTGTCACTGTCATTCTGTGTCAGGAGCCCCACTACCCAGCAGATCAGCTGGAGAGGTGAAAGGATGCTTGACCATCTTAACTGAGTGTGAGCTTTAGCGAGGCCAGATTGTGCAGGGACATTCATGTTTGGAAAATCTGGTCCCGATGAAAAACCACCGGGTATAGATCCACCAGCATAGCTGATAGCAGCACTCTGGTTTTCCTTACATGTCTCTAATTCCAGGGACTGACCTGGACCCAGTTTGGCTTCTGAGATCTGCTGAGATCAAGCTACTGTACAAGATACCAAAACTGCAGCTGATGGGATTGGGTAAATTTCCCATTCAGCAGTGTGATCGATGACTTCCTGAACCCTGTTTATGATGACAAAGTAATGAAGCAGTGTTTTGTTTCATGCTGAATTAAACAGCACTGTATTGTGAAAAGGCATTATGTTCTACTGTTGGTATGTTTTATAATCTGTATCTTAAATCATCTCCTAATCTATGAGTGAGTAAGTGGCATTCCTCTTATTAAATGCACAGTCATGGATAAACACACAATCACAGTCATGAATTTACACATCTTGCAGATACAATGAGAAATTGCCAAAACTGATGCATTTTCTTCATCTGCGCATAATATTAAAAAAACAAAAAAAAACAAAAAGAGACCCAGTAGGACTTTTAAACAAAGTTAAATTAACATTGACAAATGCCTCACAGAGTACAGGAAAAGCTTTTGTAGACAGTGGCGTGACTGCAAGCTGCCAAGCTCTCACCTGATTGGCTGTGTTGATGTCCACTCCATTTTTGATGTGGTCCAAGGCCTTGTCCAGGTTTCCAGAGCGGGCGGCACGCAGGAAGCTGGTCGAAGTATCGACCTGGGGGGAAAAGAAGGGGTGGGGAGGAGGTCAGACATGTGTCACTTGCAGGAGAGAGCAAAACTGAGTCATCCCAGACTGCGAACTGAGGCCCATTCCAGAGCAACCTCTTACTTAGTTAGCAAGTGAGTCTAAAGGGTCAGGCATTTGCTTGTGCAGAAAACAAACCGAAACCAGTGGGTGACACATATTTCAGCTACGTTCATGGTACACAGAACTGAAGACTTTCATCTTGAAGCACTTATGGCCGGTTGCAGCACACAATATCGGGCATGGGAGTTGCCAATGTGATCCGTACCTTCTGTACAAGCAAACCACTTTGAAGTGTCTCACTTCAAGAAATGACTTATAATGAATTTCCACAGCAGTGGAATTGCAGACAAACAGGATCTAATATCTGGCCATTGCATGAGGTGAACAAGCCTAATGCACGCAGTATAGCGCCCTTAATTCACTATATTACGAATGTCCCAGGACTGTTTCCCAATTATTTCCCAGCTCAGCTTACACCTGTTGGAATCCCACACAATCAAACATCCCGAACCAGGATGTAAGGGTGCAGTCTTACCTCTTTCTCCAGAATCAGAGAATCAAATGGCAACAGGTACCTAATTCCCCCAAACCTCCAAAACTAAAGAACTGCCAATAACAACACCAGAAAGGGTACCAACCAGAGGAGGCTCTTGGCCCATCTGACCCATTTGGTGGTTAGTAGTAATTGATCCAAGAGTCTCATCCACTCAAACCAGGGTACCAGCTCCAACAACATGGCTGGGTAGCTTGTTTCATACTCCCACAACCCTTTGAGTGCAGAAGTGCCTCTGGTTCTCAGTTTTAAATGCACTTCCACACAGTTTCCACTTGTGTCCTCTGGTTTGTGTTTCATTGCTTCTGGCATGTGCCTAGTGCCAGGACCCAGTTTGGGTTCAACTTCTACCTCTAATACTGACAGCACAAAGCTTGATACAAGATGATACACAAAGAACACTGAACCCTGAAGACACACCTTCAGCAGCAATCTTCCCACTGATAGTTTGACAAACAGGGATTACAGTAGCACTAGGCTTGGACTAGTTAATTCTAGTTTTAGGGAACTTAGTTTAGGAGCTAATCAGCATGTCTGGAAGCAACCCTATGAGACTTTTGATTTTCACATAAGCCTGGACTTATCAAGACAGGGGACAAAAGATCTTCTGGTTCTGTGTGATGACATGTAAAATAATATTAATGATTTGCTTCATCCCAGAGAAGTGCCACATTTTTAAATGACAATCATCTAGGTTTTGATCTTGCCCCGGCCTCTGCCTCATTCCTGATCCATCAAGAAGGGTTCCCTTGACGCTCATCATAGAAACTGGACCTCCGCTCTCCTAATCCACTAAGATGGGGACTGACTAGTCTATACTTTAGCTCTGAGACCAGTCTAATCCACTCTCCATGCTCCGAACAGTGACTCTACAGACAGGGGTGTCAATCAAGGCATTCCCCCTGCCAAGTGCTCCGAGAATAGCAGTCCGATTGCTTTAAAATGCCTCCTAAGAGCCCAACTTCAGTCATCCTTGATTGGTGAAGCACTCAAAACGCACACTGAGCATTGCGACAAGCTGCAGGTTTGCTACAGCTGCCTGAATCGCAGACACCTTCCCTGTCAGACAGGGCCTACCTGCCAGCGTCAAGCAGTCTACAGGGAGAGCTGCTGTTTCCACATACAGGCGGGCTGTTCCGCAAATATTCAGGAATACCTTTCAAAATCCTTGTTATGCTCCTGCTTTGCAGTTTTGTAAGAAGCAATTGCTCATTGTCGGACAGAACTAGGGACCTTCACGAGATTTAAACACCCATTTATCGGTTTCTTTACCATCCTGTTCCCAGACATTAATGTTGTGAAATTGGTATCTTAATAACCCATTGACTCCGCCAGTCTGAAGCAAAATATATATATCCATGATGCTCTGTCACACTGCCGTGTAAATCAGCACCCTACACTGACAAGAAATTAGCAAAATGCTAATCTGATCTTAATCTATCCAAAAATACAGTGGGCTTCCACATACAGTACAAATTAATTTTCAGTACTGTGCGTTTTCCGTATTTTAAGTCATACCTAAAAAAAACTACAAAAATGACAAAAACAGATCTGAAATAAATCAGCACTAGAGGCTAATGCAGAAAAGGTCTTGTCCCCTTGACTTTGCACAGCCCAAGCTAACTGAAACTCACATAGCTGTTAATGCAGGAATGAAGAGAACTGCAGGGGCCTGAGAATAACAGCTGGCTCCTATGGCTGATGAGGAAATCCAAGTCTACACGTTTACAGTAATAATCAGCAACAGCAATGACTACAGGAACTGACAACGGGGGGAAAAGATGCCAAAAAAGGTGACAGAAAGGCAATATTTAAGGAAAGTCCAACTATGAGAAAAGTTACAAACAAGACAAATCATTTAATCAATAAAAGCTCTGAGAGCCAAGAGCCTGATGAGGAGGAAGCTCTCCAGCGCTGAAGCAGGCCCTATTGAGACCTCAAAACTGCTTCTGTACAGCCCTGAGGTCTCGTTTGATCCTAGATCAATCTCATTGAACTCTGTTGATGCCTTGTGCATCGGGCAGAATTGGATTGCAGACACACATGCACAACGCCGATACTTATTCCAAGGGATGTTACAGTGGGAAAAACCAGACATTTATTGTTTCTGGCCATGTTTCACTGTTTCACTGTTTCTGGCCATGAGAGCTCAGATCATAATGGCAGGCCTCAGTGTATACAGGCTCAGCTCCCTAGGAGATTCACTGCAGCTGCTGCGAACTCTCCACTCCTCATTTCGAGCCTGTTCCAGGCTGGACACACACCAGATGCACAGATACCACACTGATCTGTTTTCAGAGGTTCGTAAATCACCCCCTCCTCCCTCCACACACACAGACACGCTGTACCATTGTCTCCGTTACTCACAGTATGAAGGGTGGCAGTGTCGTCTTGATTTGCCATCTCTTGTCTTTTTTGGCTCTCCTCTTCCTACAACAGCTTTGGAAATTGTAAACTGATACCCCAATCCCTTTCCTGGATTAATGGAAACACTTGGGTCAGACCCACACTCTCTAGCTGCTAGGGGCATCTAAAAATACAGGGAATGTCCCAGCTCTTACATGCACAAATACACAGGCAAAAGCAGAATTGAACCTATTGACAAAACAATTATGGCAGTGTGTTCTGATTCAGCCTGGCCAGCAACAGTTACTGTATCTCCCAGGCAGATCCTGAAGATACTGTATGAACAACAAGCAGCAGGGAGCACACAAAGGGATGTGAAGCACAACAACATTTCACAATACATAATGGGTCTGTGCTTAAAAACAGTGACATGTAGATCACAGCTTGTTTGAGCTTCAGAGACAGATGTCAGGATTTGGATTGGCTTGATTAAATGTGAATTGCAGCCTGCTTCCTCCCTGCTCCAGGTCTTGTATACTGAGCACAGGTTCTCCGGAATCTGGGGGTTGCAGCTCTTGGTTCGTTTTGTAGAGTGGTACTGTACCTACAGAGCCTGGAAAGACCAGGGCTTACCGCTGTCCTGCCTGACCCAAGGTGAGTTAACACAGGAAGGCCAGACAGCAGCTGGTGCCAACACCCATTGCTTGGAATTTAAAGAGAGAGGGCCGGGGAGATAAAAGACATAGGTCATAAATGTTGAGTCATGGGGAACGTTCAAGAGCATCACAATGAGGTTCCTGGATCAGTAAGCTGTAACCGGAGCTAGGTGATATCTGCAGGCTGATGGCATACAGTACCTCTAATTTGTGGCCTTTTCCTTTCTTCTTTTGTAAGAGGCCCCACTAATTCCTCTTTGCACTGCAGACTGATAACCAGTGTCTGCAGTTATTAGGGCTCAAGACCATGGAAACTCAGAGCAGCAGCCCATTAACTAGCAGAAATGCTCTGGGTCTGCATTACTTCTTCCTGCATCCAGAGAGACTGCCTAACCATCTTGTACAACTATCCAGGCCTCCCCTCCCAGTTGCACAAAACACACCTCCCCCAGCCCTTAACATCCAGCTCGGCTCTCTGCCCACTGAATCTAAGCAGATACTGTAGGCCCGAACCACATTAAGCATGTCAATCGTATTAGTTAACCTTAAACCTCGATCAAACTGCTAAACACGTTCAATGGCAGGGGCTGTATTGAGAACCAGATTGAGGACAACCTCAGTTTAGTTTAGGCAGCAGTCAAGAGTTTCTAAATCAATGAAGCTTTTCAGAAGAGGGGATTCTATAACATTAGTCCACATTTTATGCTTATCCTCCAATATCCCAACATGCAACCAGTTCAATAGTACTATATATTTAGTGTAATGTCACTGCAAATCCTCAGGGGTTACACATGAGGGGGATCATAATGAATAGCATATGTGTTTGACTCATGGGATGTGAATGGAGCCTACACAAAAGACACCTACAACATATTTTTTTCATTGATGGTAACTTGTGAATTTCAGAACTAAAGCCATAATTGCTATGTCTTCCAACTGCATTGGCTCCATATTAGCAGGGCTTTAATCAGCAATATGCAGAAAATGGCAGAATACCATCACAGTGTCCAATGTGCTTACATTGATGACAACCAAGCTATCTTTATTAATATGCCAGTATTTCAGCGTCAATGTCTGGAGATGGATTAATTAGAATGTCTTTGAGCACAGATCTCTTGATTGGTTACACAGAGAAGGCCAATTATGACAGTTATCTTCTCCAGAGCAAGGAAGAGCTACTGTACAACAAATGTAATCGATTTGATATTGTTGCAAAGGCACTTGAAGTAAGTACTTGCATCATTGTTCTTTTGTGATTCAAGAGACACAACATAAAGGCTGCAGGAAATGTCTTCAGTTTTGTGTGCATTCATGCTGCTCGTATACTGCAATCAGACTGAATGGTGTAATTTTCTTATGTATTTTAATACAAAAGGAATACTGTCTGAAATAATCAGACTGAAATAATTTTG